GGCCTGGGGGGGGGGGGGGGGGGGGGGGTATGACTACTTTTGTTCCCCATGGTCCCTGTGTGTGTTGTAAAGTAGTCACCGCTCCAAACTAATTTTTGGAATGGACTACAATCTCAATACAAGTGAGTAAACTAAACATGAGATTGTAGTCCATCACGGGAGCGAGCTTGGAGCGGCAACTACTTTACAACACACACAGGGACCATAGGGAACAAAAGTAGCCCCCCTCCAGAAGGAAGGACAGTGTCAGCACCAATTCAGAGATGATTTGAGGATCTATAGTCAGGTGATACACAAATAGGATACATTTTTGTTAAAAATTAAGGTACTTGAATGCGTGACTGTCAGTCACCACTCCCTGCAGGGATTCCCCCCTCCCCACTCCGATCCTCCAGCGCTGTAGCTCGCGATATACTGAGCTTTGGAACAGTAGAAGGGCATCATGGCACACTCACATTTCGTGTGCACCTTACTGTATAACTGGTAACAAATTGTTGAGTGCGTTTGTCGTTTGTTTTGCTATACTGAGCTTTGGGTCACGGGAGGACGCTAGTTTATGTCCTCCCGTGACCCTTAAGAGAACTATGGGGTAAAACACTTACTCTTTTAAATAAATTATAACTTCACACCTGACCCCAGCCCAAGCTTTTTATTTCGTTTTGGATAAAGCGGTGGATGGGTAGAGCCTCTCCCAGGTTTTATTTGCTGTTTGTGTTTCCGTTGAGAAGAGTCTCCGTCACAAGAATTGAGGGGAAGTTTCTCCAACAGGAACAAAAGACAAAAAACACAAGCAAGGGTCAAAATCCCTGACAATGGTTTCATTGTTGCCTGTGCCTTCCTATCCCAGTGACACCCTCATCCCCTTTTTCTTGCATGGGTGTCACAGGCACAGGAAGTGAAGTATGTAGAAAGAGGTTCATGTTCTGACGCCCTACAAACACTCCCTAGTAGAGTTCCTTAAAACGTGCGTACTATGTACTGCGTAATAAAACTCACCAGTAAAACTTCACTTTAGAAAAGTCAAAAGTTTATTAATAAATCAGTGTATAAAGAGAAACAAGAGACAGTATAGAAAATATAATTGTACAGTGTTAGGTGGCTGACAATAGTGGTGACAGCCAGGGCCGGATTTCCCACAAGGCCAACCAAGGCCCGGCCTTGGGGCAGCAGGGAGTAGAGGGGCAGCAGGGGTGTGGAATTCCTGTCTCCCGATGACCAGGACATGCAGTTACAGATGCCGGGCGGGTAGTTGTTTTCTACATTTAGCCCTGCTTCGGGCAAGCAGAGCTAAATGTACAGCAGGGAAGCCGCCGCTTGTTTTGTACAAGTGATCTCTGCGATTTTTGCAGCCTGCAGGTCTGCCATTCTCCATGGGGGGGTAGTTGGCGGGTAGGGGGGCGCATTGAGAAACCTGGCCTTGGGGCAGCAGAGAGAGTAAATCCGGCCCTGGGGACAGCTCTACTTTACAAAAATTCTGCTTTTTTTTAACCTGCTCAAACCAACTGCTGAATGAAACGGTTGACTTCTTATCACACCTAACAGAACCCGGATTGTGGATGGAATGACTCGGTCACATTTTAGGAATGAGATTATCTTACAATTGGACACAGTTTGGACCTGGCTGGTACATAGCGCAGAACATTAGAGATCAGAACCAGCTGACCTTTAGCGAGAAGTTATCTGCTGATTCTATATTCTTGGATGACACCAGGGTGATGTTTCTGAAATATGGCACCAGAATATGTCTTTACTAAGTCCCCGCCAGGTCCAAAAGTGGCCCTGAAGAAAATGTGGATTGAGGTGTTAGAGGATTAAAGTCCCATCAGCTGGTATTATTTCACTCATAGAAACCCTAAAGGAACCCGAAAGGGACATGGACATAGTGAAGCAAAACCCCAGAAATCTAAACTTCCCCAGAGAGGTTTTAAGAGATGACATGCACATGCTTAGGGCAACACCGTTCAATGGACTGAGATGCTGCTTGGAACATCTTCATTCTTTAAACTTGATTTGATGAGTTTTTTCCTCGGTCTCTTTTATGATGGTGGTAATGATCTTGAACATTTGCTCCCAGGTTATGGCACCAGATTCATACTGCTGAATGATCTCCTTTCTCTTCTCTTCTGTGATGTACTGCGAATGAAGGAGCTCCCAAAGAGAATGCGATTGGCCTTTTAATTTGAATTCTCCAATGTCGACCTGGACTTTTACGGATTTCAAGAAGGTGGCGGTGTCTGGTTTTTGTGCCACCACAGTTACAGTTTTACATGAGGAACCTGTCAGCGTTGGGACGATCCCTTTAATGGTAAGAAAGTACAACTTGATGAGTTCTAGACGCTTGGCTTTGGTGATGTTTTTGGACTGGAGTAGGTCCCACAGTGAAATATTTTCTCCTGTAAATTCGCTGCTGGCAATGGAGACGGAAAACACCTGAAGTGACTTTATAACTGGTTCTGGAATGGATTCAAGAGTTATTTGTTCTGTTTTTACTGTGACCTTCTGCCGAATTGAGATCTGCACACTGGTTTTCTCAGCTTGCATGAAGATCTGCATTATACTTTTCATGAGATCTTGAAGCCCAAGAGCACCACTCTCGTACCCCGCTAAAAGTTCATTTCTTTTGTCACCTGTTATGTGTGAAGAATGTAAAAGCTCCCAAAGGGAACTTCTCTTACTTTCTTGTTGACCCACTTTCATATCAACTTCTACTGCCTGGAGTGAACTTTGGGTTTCTACCCTCTTTTCGGTTTGTGCAGGTTCTTGGCTGGCTGAGATCTCAAGGCTTTGGGTAGCGGAGCCTTCTGTTGACGTTCCCTTGATTATACTGGTGCAAACACTCATGACCTCTCTAAGAGAAGACTTGTAGATGTGCAGCATTGCGCTTCTTTTCTCCTCGGGTACACTTTGGCTGTGCAGGTAATCCCATACAGAAACATTACCTGCTTCTGACGGCTTCCTTGATAGGTCACTTGGAATCACTTGTAATGCTTTTTGTAGTTGCTCTTCTGATGGCCAATGTTCATCCACATCTGGAACCGATTGTACTACTTTCACTTCCTGAACAATGACTGTCTGCGTTGAATGCATCTCTGTCTTTTGTATCATGCTTAAAACAATGCTGATGATTTCTTCAATAGTCAGTGTTCCGGATTTAAACTTTTGAATCAATTCCTCCCTTTTCTCTTCAGGAATATATTTGGAATGCAACAGGTCCCAGAGAGACATGGATTTTTCTTTAAAGTCCCCAATGGAAATCTCTATGATTACGGACTTGAATGATTTTTTAATGACTTTAATCTCTGGTGATAGTTTTTCTTCTTTCTCTGTTTCGGTAATTATGGTAATAAGGATAGTAATAAGTTCTTCAATGGTCAGCAGGCCAGCACGGTATTTTTTCAGGAGCTCTGTTTGCTTTTCTGCTAAAACATACCGAGAGTAGAGAAGATCCCAGACAGAAACAGCTTTCCCTTGAAATCCACCAACTGAAATTTGCACAGATTTAGACTGAAGAGCAGATTTTATTTTTAGTTCTTCCTGAGGAGCAGAGGTGCCACCTGTCACATCCAGCATATACAGACCAGTCTCCGGATCTTTGACGCATCTTTGGATCAGCTGCAGGTAGGTGAGGTTCTCGTGAGTATTGGGATCGAAGAATCCCTTTGTGTCATCAGAGGGATCAGAGAGGATGTGGTTCATTTCTTCATCAAAGTAGCCACGTTTGTATGCTACCTCCACAGGCACACGATGACTGTGTACTGGGTCAATAATTCCACCAGTGGCTATCTGGGCTTCCAGGAGACGTATGCCATGATCCTTAACAATGAGATCTTTCTTCATAGCCTGAAAGAGAGAGATTTTCTCTTCAGTGTAGGGGTCCTTATAGCCAGTGACCCCTCTTTCGGCAGACACAAGTTTAGCATATATATCGTGTCCAATCAGCCCTGCAGTTAAGGCCTCCTCTACCGAAAGCTTTTTGTTCTGAATAGGGTCGATCACAAACCCTGTAGCTGCCTGTGCTTCAAGGAGAATCAATGCTGTTCCAGGTCTCAGTATACGTCTCAACATGGCATCATAGATGGTCAGCTTTTGTTTTTGGGAAGGATCAGTCTTTGATGTAACAAACACTCCTGCAATGCTACTAGAGCCTTCAAGATATCTCTTCACAGAATCCATCTGGGTAACCTCTTCTACAGTCTTGCTGCCCTGAGTCAGCTCATCCAGAGTCTTCTGGTCAATTATTTCTGACTGGAG